GGAAATTTCTTGTTTAAAAAATGTGGAAGCTCAAATTTACTCCATAAAAACCCCCCGTTCCCATTGTTCGATTATGCTGGCTCACAAACTTCTTCAAATACGAGGTAGGTCTACACGTTTCTACCGATTGTCAACAAATATAAACTCAATATTCATATTTTGAAGGGATGGTGTTTTTGCCTCTGTTGAGACCAAAATGAAAAAGTAAATGAGTCTCGGGTCCAGGTCTTACAATGTGACCTACGATAATAGGTAATTCCCTTTATGGGAAATCCGCTAAAACGGCAAAAAATTAGTGACAGAAAGTCACTTTAAATATATTTTTGTTGGAAATTATTAACAGCACAAAGTTTGTGAAACGTACACCTTTTAAATAAGTAAATGAGTATTTTAGTTAACTCCACTTTCACTAGAATATATTTCTTCTACTTTTACTATTGTTTGTAATAATCAAAGTATTTATAATGACATAATTACAACAATTACCTACACATCCGAGGTAGCAGATAAAAAAAGTTGGGTATGTTTCGGTGAAGAGGGTAGGAAATGGTGTTTTTGACCAACAGATGCAGATGGCGTACGAGGTAAGGACATTTTAGCGTAGTTCTTGCAACCCATGTTTTTTGAACACTGACAATAGTTTGATCTGGTACGCACTACACGTAGCTTCCTTCACCCTTCACGTCCAGACCTTATCAGCATGGCTCGAACCTTAAACAACGTCAAATGTGGCTTGTTTCCCCGTTTCAAGAATCATTTCCTTGCAAATTTGACATTTTCTCACTATGTTTGTATCAAAACCCACCACCATTCGAAGAAAATACCTACCACCACCTTGATTCCTTGCGATGGATGGTATGGCTTGAGAAGAAGGGGTTTTACCTTAAAAATGTCTCTAGGAAACTTAATCAAGACGTGAAAGAGCTCGCGTAGAACTACTAGTAGGCGGGAACGGAATATACCAGCTGTTCCAGGTGATGGAGGTGTACGAGTGTGTGTGCAAAAGGAAGCTCCATTGTAGATTATGCGACTTTTGTGCATTTGAAAAACGCTGTGTGATCTTGATTTATATAGTCAGATGGTATAGTTATCACTTTATGACTGTATGATATTACCTAAAAGAACAACCCTGTTACAATTAAAAAAGGGCTTTAAGGGGTGAATCTCATACATGTGATACGGTACTAGATTAAATATTTTTACAGTACAACTTTTACTAGTGATGATGACATTTGGATGGGGGTGGGGGGTTTACAATTGACATTTTATACACCTCAGAAGCTGTTAAATTAAGCAATTGTATTTAAATTGACCGGAAATCTAACAATAGTATAGACGTTATTTTCTTTCTGTTCTCGTTTGCTCAGTTTTATTCACGTTATTCTGGACGTCTACGACAGAGTTTGCTTTGATAATACAATAAGCTGCAGATTATGTGGCTTAGTGGTAAGAAACGACTAGAGTAGGCGTAGGCGGAACAACGACGGCTTGAAATCCTTGCAGGAACGAGCGGTGTAAGCGAGATTAGTGAATAACTAACTTCAAATCTTCTCATATTCGTTTACAACCCAAACGCACCCCTGCACCCCTGCCACAACAAACCTGCAGACCAAACGAATTTCCATTTGCCTGATTTTATTTACACTAAAATATCCCCTCCAAAATGTCAGATGTATGCATAAACCAAAATTAAAAAATACACTATTATTATACTTACCAGTCTCATTCACCCCTAAAAGAAAGTAAAAAATGTATGTACTTTGGTTTGGCCGAGCCCAACGGATGGATTGTGAAACTCAGGCTGTTTTGGTAGCTGAGTGCTCGCACTCAAGTCTAGAGGTATAAGGTTCAAAACTAAGTGGAGTCATTTCTGGACCCAAGTGACATTTTTGTCACTGATCTATTAAGTTGATGCTACCTTACACAAGATCAACGTCAGATAGCTAAGCCAGGGTTTATACTATCGCCTTAAAAAACGTAGCAAATGTCATTGAATCACAAATAAGCGCGGTTAAGGCTGTAAAACAAATATAAACACATAAATCGGACAACGCTCATATCTTTATTCACCACAAGTCTCTACATTTTCCGTCGATATCCCTAGCCTGGTTTGGAGGGCAGTCTAAGTAAGGGTTGTCAATAACCTGTCGCGTTCCATATCCCGACTGGACAGAAGGGGTGGCGTCACTGACCTCCTGGATGTTGGTGTTGGCAGCGATGAGCTGAGCTATCATCCCCTGGACCTCCGGCACTTGCATGAGCCAGCTCCAGTTTTGTGGATCCGCGAATATCGCAGAAGCGTCCTCTGGAGAGAATGAGGACTGGGTGTCCTCAGTGTCCAAAGAACCTGTGTCCACAGTGACCTCTTGTGAACTCTCGTCCTCTTGCCCATGGACGCAGCTGACGAAGAGGGCGGTGACGGCGAGCAGCCCTACAATAGACACTACGGCAGCCATTCTCGGAGAGAAAACTAACATAAAATCCTCGAAAAGCGATGCAGCTTTATACTCTAGAGGGAGACGAGTGACGAATTGTTTTTGACAGCATGGTAATTTACAATGTCTTGTGTAAGCACGTACCTGAAATGTTTAACAAAACGTTCTTGACTTATTTAGAATGATCGCATGTTTATTTAATACCATCTATAAAATCGTATGTAATAAATGAAAAAAAAGTTTGCTTGATTTTCATTGCCTCTGTTGATTCGCTTATTACGCGCATCAATCGCACTTGCTTAGTTAACATTACATTAAATTTTCGTTTTTTTGGAATTTCGGTATACTTATTATTTAGGTTTGAAATATGAAGGTTCATTAGTTTTAATAATAATTTTACCAAAGGGCTGCACCCTATGAATAAAGTTTCAATGTTATTCTTACGGACATACAATTTTAGCTATTTGTTTTATACCACCTGTTTGAAATTCTTATTCATACCATCTGTTTCAAGATATGTTTTTTTGATAAAGATGCGAATTTTTAGGTAGATCAGGTTAGTAAAACAATACATTTTTTATGCATTTTATGGTTGGATTTTGTACTACCATTACTTCTATTTAGCACTACAGATAATTTTTTGTTAATTATAATTTAACTAGGGTTTTTTACGCCACACGCCACATAATTCAAATTTATGTTTTCGAATTTTTTGAAGTTTTCTTTTTGAATTCTTTCACATATAGATTTTGGATTTATACTTAATAAAAAAAGTACCACCAGATTTTTGGACACTGCAATTCCCACGACTTGTTATGGACTTTTTTGGTGGCAGAATAATGTTGGCGTAATGGAATAATGGCAGGGTAATGTTCTTCCAAGTGTCGAATATTTTGATGCCTTAAAGGTAGCTCAACATAGTAGCAAGTACGAGACACATTAGTTGTTGACTGTTTTGAACAACTTTGAAAGACTCGGATTATGGACTCACACTCAAACAGTATACAATTATGCCACTACCAATGACTAAAAGCAATAGCCTTCAACATATGGGCCAACATGTATATTAAATACATTGTCTGACTTGTATGGCTTTTGGTATAAAGTGTCCCAGAGCAATGTTTGTGATCAATGGAGTGCCTTAAAATAGAAAGGTAAAGCGTGTTTATGTTTGTACATAGGAAATAAAATAGTGCTTTCAAAATACATTCATTTCGGAAAACGGTTGTTGACAGCGGCAACATTCCAATTTACAAAGTGCAAGAACAAGAATGCCATGTAATTGGAGTTTTATTTATATTATCCGTTAGTAATCCCAATTTGTACAGCATATTTTTTTGTATTCATAAGTTTACCCGAGTGTAGAGTGGCCAAAGAAAGAACAATCCTCTTCATAATTTTGCTAAAGTAAATTTAATTTTGCTAAAGGTTACTGAGTTTAAAAAACTTGCAAATAGACATCATTTTGTTCATTTTTGAAATGTAGGACTTTATTACTATGGAAATCACTTCAACGCTGACGTTGTCCAATCGCATATCTATATACAAAAAAATCAGATGTATTTGGTATTAACATTATTTATAACAATGCCTTATTATTAGAGGTAAAAGATACCTAAAACTGAAACATGTTCTGTTCCAGTTGAAACCACCGATAATGGAAAATCTCCTTCTCAAATGGAAGGCGAGCAGACACACGAGACAAGACAAATGAGACGGATCTTCTGTTTTGATTATTTTCTACAATCAATGAAAAAACAAACATTTTGTTATTGAGCCCGGTTGCGTACAAAAACTAGATGGTTAAAATGTTAATGTGCAATGATTATTCTGAATAGCAAATAATCACTAACGTTATATGAATTTTTAACGGTTGTACAACAAGAAATGAGTAATATCATATTAAAATACATAGATGAAATATGTAATAAAAAGGATATTCTCTTCCCATAAGATTATTCAATTTATGATAAGGCCTAAGCTTTTACGATGGTATTAACAAATTGATTATTGCACTTTTCAAAATATCTAAAACGAATAGGAAATTCAAAAGTTTATGTACAATTTAGTAACAAACATAAAATATTAATAGTAATATATTTTGAAATATACAACTATAAAGTTAGTGGATCTATATAGATGTATAATTTTTAAACACCTTTACATCAACAGGTTTATAAATTTGAAAGCCTTGTAACCAACCTTAGATAAGAAGACAGTTAACTAGCGGTTTAAGATTTCGAAACTGAACCATTCAAGATCGCTGACAACACAATGAGTCAATAGCAAGTTAATTTAGCATCAGCGAGTTTTGAAGTCAATTAGTGATTTAATAATGCTGACATCATTGAGAGTGACATTTTAAATCCATAGAATAATCAATTCAGCTTTTAAATTGACGATTTCTTTACATTTAATTGTTACATTATGGGTGAGTCAAAAATGAACATTTTTATCAACCTTATTATACGTTTGTATGTTTAATTTACACGAAAATGAATTATACAGTTCAGTTATTAACCATATTCGGAGGAAAAATTCATTAGGTTAATATATATATATAGCTAAGTTTGTCACACTATTTATTTGTCAAATCAATGTTCCTATACAATAAACCATAGCTAGTTATATGAAGTAATAAGTTGCAGTAATTAGCCCTTCGTACTAAATCTCTCCTCTCAGTAGCTCTGAATGGCTATGTTGTTGGACGAGGTAGCCAGCGTTGTATTCCTTAAACAAATATATGATCATGTAGATATATAACTAATAGAAGGCCAAACAACAGTGTTATACTAGACAAACAGGATAATAACGCAGTTAGACATTGAAAAAGTGTATTTTCCATCCATGGTTCAAAATAGTTTTTTTTTTCAGTGGGTAAATAGTGAACGTTAAAAATCTCTATTATGTTTTGAACATTGTAATAGAAAAAAATAGATGGTCCTAAAAGTTATACTATCAAAATGGTCGGTGTAAGAGTTAAATTGTGACCCCTAAAACAAACAAAAAATTTTATTACATAAGAATCAAGTCTCTCCCACAGAAAGTGTTGACAGTTCGTTTTGATTAACTAGTTGAAAAATACCAAATGCGAATGTCAATTTATTGGGTTTTCTCTTCCAAGCCGGCTACGACATAACGTCAAAGGACAATATTAGATGAGATCAAACCCGTCAGAAGTGTAAAATATTATATTTTTCTTTAGGAAATCTTGTTTAACCTTGTAGACTTTATGGATGATGAAACTTATATAGTATTCTCAAGCAGTATTACTGGTGTGTACTTTAAGCTCTAAGTTATCACATAAAACATAGTCTTTTTTATTTGTCAATTGCAACAAATCGTTATTTTCTACATTGGTAGGGGGGTTATCTTAACGATCATCATTCATATGACGATAATGGCCAGACATCTTTGAATATACATTTTTATAAACGATATTCCAGTTTATACATCTTTCTACATGTATTAAATTTTGAATGTTAGGTAATCAATGAAGATGGAGCTAAGAATGCTCTGATGTGCACTAAAAGAAAACTCCACCTTTCATGTTAAGCGAGCGTTGCATACCCGTAAGCAAGAGAAGTTAATTTTTTTACATTCAATGACCTGGCCTGTTTCATAAAGGTTACAGACCCTATAATACAGGTAACATGTATTAGAAGTTAAGGTTACAAGTTTGTGTTTCATAAAGATTTTTCCCTGTAAAGTAATTTACAGGGGGTTCTCCAGTATTACAAGTAAATAATACAGGACATTTCAGTGTAGTGTCTCATAAACAGAAACTCCTTTAATACAGGACCTGTAAATTGGTGAATTGTTTAGCATTCTCTAAACCACCATACAAATTTTACAAGTAACAAGTATTGATACTTTGATAAGTGACATTTTGTAGTAAAGATTACCTAATGGATGACTCTAGTAGTTATAGTTAAAATGACAATATTGTTATTATTTGGAGGCCAATACATTTTAAAGAAAGAATTATTTCAAGACGTAAAAAAATACATAGCTTACACCATTAAATTAGTTTTGGTCAGATTTTGATATAATTTGGAGTGAATTGTTGTGTGTAATGGATAAATGTGATTAAGATCGCAAACCAGCAAGATTGGGTCATAAAAAAGTGTTATAAAGTAAAATTAGTTTTCAAAAATTTTTGAATTTTTCAAATATTTACCCATAATACATGGAAATTCCCAATTTGTATTACTATTATGTAATAAAGCTAAAATGACAAAAATTAGTTATATTGAAACATTGTTTTACCATTAAAGGTTACGGGAAAAAACTGCTTGTTAAAGCTATATTTTGATAAAATTTGGCAAATTTATCCATTTTATACTGTACTATTAACATTTGACAAAAACTCCTTTTCCTTCCACGTAGCAGTAAACCTTAGTACTCGTTAAAGATAATGTTACTTGTATAGAAGAAATATATGCCTTGTTTATGGAAATATTTCATTAAAAATTCAATCAAACTAATTGAAATTTGTATAGTCCACTGGCTTGTTAGTCTGGGTAAATTTTTTTGCGTTTAGCCATAACTGTATTATATAAAACAATTAACGACAGTAAGGTCAGTCCTTTTTCTTATTAACGACTTAATATAAAAACTATATTTTAAAATACCATTTACAGCTGTGAGTTAAAATACAGGAACTATAATACTGGCAAATTTTAAATGAGATTTTTACAAGAGTAAAATTATTTTTATGAAACATGAATTCACAGGACTGTAAATTTAAATTTGAAAGTTCTGTAATACAGGCACTGTATTATGAAGGTTTTATGAAACAGGCCCTTCAATAATATAATATATTTTTGTGTCTATTAAGTGTACCTCTCACCCAACTAACTGTGTAATCCTTTGGTTATGGATAGATCTACAGTATACGTTTCATTCCCATGATTGAAACTGTAGCCAGTTTAGGAAATAAATAATCTTATTTGAATTGAATTGATTCAACGACAGAATCTGCTGATGTAAACTACTGATTTCGCATAAGTAAGCTAACTATTTAACAAAGCCAAACGTAGCGTTATGGTAAGCTGGAGCATCTTTCGTTTCACATTAACTACCAGTGTAGACAAAGCTATGTAAGTAAATATAACTTTGGCCTCTAACACACCCTTGGAATGGTTCAACTACATTTGTTGTAAAAAAAAAAAAACGGGGGAAAAGACTAGTAACTGTTGGTCCATACTATGGAATGTCTGGTTTAGAGTTTCAACACTGATACTCACTAGTAAGAGTCCGGGAACACGGGACGACACTTTCCATTGTAGTCCTCGCTGTAGCCTTCTGGACAGCTGATGATAGGGGTGTCTATCACACGATCGGGCCCCACCTCTAGCAGGGGCCTGCCTTGGGGTAGCTCCTGGGGCCCCACCTCCTCCTGGGCCTCGCCTGGAGGTGAAGACGTCACTGAGGAAGCTGAACTGGGAGTTGTGGCCAACATTCGGGGACTGGCGATGAGAAGTCTGCTTTTCTTCGACTTGAAGAAAACCACCGGCTTTACAGTAGCAGTGCTAAAAACATAAAGTTGGATACTGAAAGGTGTTGGACCTAACAAACAACACGTTGTTTTAAATACATAAGAAAAATTAATAAACTGTAGTTTGAACAATGTATCAACACGTCAAGGGATGGTTAAATTAAATAAAAAGAATAATTACCATTAATCCGAATAAGTTGTTTTAGGTGGCTCCATAAGGACACAGCCTAAAGTAGAAAAACTGATAACTCGGTTGTTTGTCATCTGATAAAAAAACGAGGTCTCTTTTGATTTGGATTAATTAGAAATTTTCTTTAAATATTTACGGTTTTCATGACATTTTGGCATTACAGATTTTGAATGGCTGCCATATTAAAATGGCTTGAGATATTAGAACGAAATTTATTAAGCTCTTTTACCTTTTAGACTACACATCTATACTAATTTTGAAATTTCTATCTTGAAAAATGCCTAAGTTATTAAAAATCACAGTCAGACCGACAGATAGAAATCTAGGCATTTTAGATCCATACTTGTATGTCATTTTATGTTTGTCTTAGCCCAAGGAACAAGTCCACAAAATATGTCCAGGCAATTTGGACACACTCTGTATATGGGACATAACGATGAAAACTTAGAATCTATACTTATTTAATACGCAAACAGGTTTTTTGTGACAATTACTCCTCCGAAACTACTGAACCGATTGACATGTTTTTGGTGTCATTGGAAAGAGCGTAACGTGAAGTTGTGCAGGAAACTTTCTTTTTAGGGAAATAATTAGAGGGTGAGGCCCTGGGGCCCTTTAAAGTTTCGTATTTCTCCATAAGATTAACATGGGAAACAAATCTATTCCATTCTATATATAATTCAGTTTTGAAAATCTTTGTACAACTAAATCTAGAGTTATACTGGACCGATTTTATTAAATAATGGGTCGTTGGAAAGCTCAAGTCGTGTAGATTTGCAAATAATTATGAAAGTTTGTTTTTGTTATGATTTATGGTGAAAATCTTTAAAAAAACATGTTTTCCATAAGAAATACATTGAAAACGGTGTTTTTCACACTTTTTAATTGGGTGCGACTTTTTGCGGCCTTTTTTGAGTGTTTCCAAGAAGTGTATGGTATCAATTTGTAGGAAATTTTATTCTCTTTCAGAATATCACCTTCCACTTTAGTCGATTTCCTCACCATTTAAAAGTTATTTGCAAAAAAGCTAGGCAACCTCCGAATTTATAGTAAAGAGAAAATACTGAGTTAGGGATATTTTTGTTAAACTTTGTACAACTAAATCTAGACTTCTACTGGACCGATTTTGTTAATTAATGGGTCATTGGAAAGCCCAACTCATGTAGATTTGCAAATAATTATGAAAGTGTGATTTTATTATATCTTTGTGGTAAAAAAGTAAAATTAACAAAAATACATTAAAAACTGCTTTTTCAAGTTTCTGTTTTCAAGTTTCTATTTGTAGCCAGCTTTTGGCTGCCTTTATTAAGCATTTACAAGAAATGCATAATAGTTGTTTGTAGTAAATTTTATTCTCTTTCAGAATATCCCATCCACGTTGGTCGATTTCCTCACCATTTAAAAGTTATTGGCAATAATCTAAGTGATCTCCAAATTTATAGTAGTGAGAAAATACTGAATTAGATATATTTTTGTTAAGCTTTGTACAACTAAATCTAGACTTCTACCGGACCAATTTTGTTACTTAATGGGTCGTTGGAAAGCCTAATTTGTGTAGATTTGCAAATAATTATGAAAGTTTGATTTTATTAGATATTTGAGGTGAAAAAATAAAAATAAACAATAATACATTTAAAACTCATTTTTTCCAAGTTTATATTTCCAAGTTTATATTTGTAGCCAACTTTAGGCTGCCTTTATTGAGTATTTTCAAAAACACATATTAGTAATTTGTAGGAAATTTTATTCTCTTTCAGAATATCACCTTCCACTTTGGTCGATTTCCTCACCGTTTCAAAGTTATTTGCAAAAACGTTAAGCAACCTCCCAATTTATAGTGGTGAGAAAATACTGAATTAGAGATGTTGTTGTTAAACTTTGTACAATTAAATCTACAGTTCTACTGAACCGATTTAATTAAATAATAGGTCATTGGAAAGCCTAATTTGTGTAGATTTGCAAATAATCATAAAAGTTTGATTTTTTAAAAAATTTACTAGGTTAAACCCGTCATAGTCGACAGTTACTGTTGAGGTTGCAAGCAAGATCGTTTGACTATAAATCAATGATAAATAACTACATTTTTTGAACAATTTGTGTTGTACGTCATTTAGCTGTGTGCTTTAGGTACGTCCGATTTTAATAATCTATAAATCAAATGGATGCTGGTATTTCACAGAAGGTTCTTAGGTCAAAACAAATAGAATGACGTAATTAGAATTAAGTAAATATATCTAAAACTAAATTCCATATCCAAGATATAATCAAATTTATATTTTCTGATTGAGCGATACAGTATCTTAAACTTAACTGTTTAAAACTATCAATATCTCAAGTGAAAGCCTATGAAGTATTTTAAGACCAAGACATATTAAAATAACTCAAATAAAAATAGAGTTACGTATCATTGATTGCAGATAAGTACTAAAACGATTGTAATTATTGTTGATTTGTGATTCAGCAGTGTGTTTTAGGTAGTCCGATCTTAATAATCAATAGCTCAAATGAAAGCTGGTATTTCACTAAAGGTTTTTAAACCAAAACATATAGGGGTAACATATAGAACTGCTGGAATACAACTTTAATTAAAGTGAAAAATTAAAATAATAAAATTTAAATTCTTTCAAAATATACGTCAAAATGAATGCCGATGCTTTATGGAAAATCTGTGGTACGTCCATACCTTTAGTTTAAGGCCAAAATAATGAAAATCGGTTGGGTAAAAGAGCTAACCCGACTCGGAAAAGAAAAACTAATAATTGTTATAGATGGCAATAATTGGTTTACCAGTATGCATAATATAATTATCTAATGTTATGTGCTTAATCTGTACCATTAATATTAGTGAGTAAAGTTGTGTATGGATTTCATAACCATTATTTTACTAGAGACCGTTGTATTTAACCACAACGGGCACTGTTGCTAGTATTGTTATGAAACTCCAGCTGTTGTCAGAAATTAAAAGTGAGAAGAACATATGTTAATTGTAAACAGTCAATAAGTTTGCTAATTTAACAGTTAGTTTGCCACAAACATTTACTTACTCGGTTGAAATGAAATAGTTACTATTTGAATTTGGGTTGGCGTAATTATTACAATGGGAAAAAGCGAGAGAGCCTGGATAAATTGATATACTAAAAAGAAAACTTAATTAACACTGTGCTGCATTTCTTAGTAATCATTGAAAGAGACGATTTGCAAACTATGGAAACATAGGAAAGTCATAGAACACCATCAAGGGGAAGAAATAGAAATAATGTGTGTTATAAACACTAAAAAACAAAATAAGCTTTTGAAAAATGATAAGATATTTACAAGAAAAGTTGATTATATCGATCGGTTATGTACATCTTGAGTATTCCATAATCTTTGAGTCGAATCTTTTATAGTCATAAAAAATATGACTGTTATTCGTTTTAAAATAACGCCTGTAATACTGAGCAATTGCTCGATTTCGAGCAACAGGGACACTAGTATGGGTACAATAGCTTTAGACAAATAACTCTAGTAAGGAGGACCAATACGATACATTTCCTGCAGGCACACACATATAACATCCGTAAAACTTTAACTAAAATCGTACATGTAATGCAAATATTAACTGAAAATATGTTTGAAAAATCATCAAATATTAAAGGTTAAAGTTGATTTTTTAAATGCATTTATCTTAATATTGGATGGTTACTTTACACTCGGCTTACTAAACAACCTTAAATTGTTTTAGTACCAAAATACATAGCTAAGAGGATTCAATTGTTTTGGTTATCATTATACAAGATAAGTATTATAGCTAAGTTTGCATTTACTAACGTTAAGGTATGCTATTGAGTGTAAAGCAACATTCACTGCGGTAGGTTATAACAGTAGCATACCTGCCACCATGTTTGGCATCGAAGGTTTCCTTGGAAGTCCTCACCACCTTTACATTCTGCCCAGTTCTCTCCTTTATTCTAGAGACCTCCCTCCACATGGGGTATCCGCGACAGTCGTAGTGAGTCTTGATGACGGTCATGTCTGTCCATGGCTCTTCCAGAGTGTCTGGTATGGTGACCATGGGGAACCCGGGTGTTCCGTCGATGAGGTACGGCACTACATGCTCTGGCAGGAGGGCGAAGGCGACGAAGAAGCCAAACAAAACCATTGAGATTGACCAAAGTACTGCACCACGCCTAGCTGTATTAGTCTGTTACACAATACCAAAACTGATATTATTACAAATGCATATTGTTGAGTGATCAGATAACTACTAAACAACGGTAGCCACTGAATCGGCCAAAGAGGATGTGGTTGCATGGCGGAAGTATAGTGGCAGCGTCCAAACCAAGAATTATATAGAGGTGATAAGCATTAGTTTCCATTCAAGACATGCTCTTCAATGTGGTTATAATAGTTTGATTTGTGACTAGATTTAGTAACAACTGGTATAATTTTAAATACTGAGCTAAGTAAAAGTGCTTAGTAGAATCCATTTTACAAAGTAAACAGGTAAAGAAATAACCTACCAATTGCTCTGTAGGGTTTGAGAAAATGATTGTTTTCTAAAACGTTCACACAAAATATTTACTTCAGTTATGATAGAAGTTAATTTAAAATAAAAATCACACCTATCAAAGTCAAATATTTTTTTGGTTGTGAAATTATTTTTATTTAAAAATATATATTATTAGTTTCTAAATTAACTTAAGTACGCACCTTGTCTGATAAAACCAAAATTATTGGAATTATAATTTTAGTAAAATAAAGTTAGAAAAGAATGAGTATATACATAATTAATTATACTAATTGATTAGGATTTTAAAATTGTCACATTTACATTTTAAAAATTGTCATTTTAGAAAATGATGCCTACTTTTAGAATAATCAAAATGTTCTTATAAAATATTGAATCCAACAGATCAATAGAGTGGTTCTAAATAATTGTAAAACGTATTATTTATCCAATCCTACCTCTATCAAGTTCTGCTAGCGACTGACTAAAGGCAAGAATATTGGAATGGTTGAATATAGAAATGACCAGCTCTGTCTGTCAAATGAAACCAAGTGCTTGTCAAGTGCACGGATACAAACTTAAGAACTAAGAAAGTGTCTTGATGTTAAATTAAACCACATAGGGGGTTTTATGATCAGATACAGATGAGACGGAATGCTATTTAAAATATTGATTCTAATTATTACAATCATTATTTAAATAGCATTCCGCCTTATTACTGAACTTTAAAAAATACCAACTTGTTATTTCCTTTGATACGAAATCCTGTTTAAGCTAAAAGTTAAAATAGTCAGTTCAGTTGCATCAGTTGTAAGGTTTTTTTATTAGGATACCACAAGGTACTAAGATGAATAACTGATAAGGTAACTGTATTCATTTATGACTAATAATACTGTAATTTGTATTGTTGAATTAATATATCAGTACCTGGGGACCGATCTTTGCTCGTGGAATTTTATCACTATACTCTGAGAGTATTCTTTGGTCAATGTAAATCCATCCCGAAAATATTATTTTGCGGTCTATCTTTTCTTGACATCTATTTAACTTCTATTAAAATAATAATATCATAGTTTACTGAAATGATGAGAAAGAAGAGGTAGTAGACAATTTGTTTGGTTCCCCTAAACGGCCCAAACTATAGAAAATACCCAGTATTTTTCACACTGAATTCAAAAAAGGCTATCAGCAGTAAGAAAATCTTCTCACCTTCCTTCCTTTGAAGTATTAGTCACTGCAAAAACTTGGGTTCGCTCCGAAACTGCAACCGGAACCTTTAATTTACCCTTAATTTTTCAAATGTAATAAGTTAAAATTTTCCGGAAACTCCGGACTCTTTCCGACTGAAAAAGATTACATTTTTTGATTTAACAAGAAGAACGCAGTAACACATTATAATTAAATTTTTATTAGGTTTGGTTTTATTAAACTTTTTATGTAAACAATATTTACAAGCAAATGTTAGTTAATTTAGGTGTTGGCTATTTTAAGACCAACATTAATCTCTTGACATTTTATAAATCATAATCTAATGTAGGCCTACACTAAAGTATGTACAATGCTGAAGTATATTGATGGATTAGCTTCTCAAACAAGTCCAGACATTGGCATTTGTCGATTTGCGACTTTTGTCGATAGGCGAATGTACGGTTAAATGTTTTCCTAAAGGTAAACAAAAATGCTAGCTTGTAACCACAGATTCGTCTCCAGGGTATAACTATAAATGTTATGCAATATAAGAAATCAACAGCGTATTACAATGTAAACCAAAACAGGTGGATGCTTAGCAGTTTTCTAAATTTCTTAACGGTTTTGTTAACAGTCATCCATTGTCCAAAGTTCCCACAAAACTACTTTCTTACCTCTGTTTTGTCCAAACATAAACAACTCTAGAGACTTTGGTGTGGAGCTGAAACAGATATATGAGATAAATATGCCTACATGTTAAAAGGGAATACCCCGAGAACACACACAAACAAACAAGTAAACAAACACACAAGCTTTCAGCTTAACAATATTGGTATGATATGATATCGCTGAACTAACTTGGAAGTGATAAAATTTCGTTTTACTGATGGACATATAAATAAATATGAATATGTAGACTAAGGGAGCACTTTGATGTAAAAAATTAACTCTATAGCTTAGCGTATTCTTAAAAACCTTTAATTTAAATGTGTTTGTTTGTTGTAAATAATCAACGAACAAACACATTTAAATTAAAGGTTTTTAAGAATACGCTAAGCTATAGAGTTAATTTTTTACATCAAAGTGCTTGAAAGAGAATGTCGCAACTACAAACGTCGTGAGAACGTAAATATGACATCTCTTTCAACCCAACGTAACCACCGCTTCCTTAGAACTGAGTGGCTCATTGTACTCAAGATTTATTTAAACGTTTCTCTGAGCGTTTCCTTTTCATTTTAACCTGCCTTTTTAACATTTCGAAATAAAATCCAGGCTTACTAAGATAAACTTTAAGAAATGTCTTTCAAACAAATTATATGTAGGTATAATAGGAATGCAGAATATACCATTCATATTTAAAAATTATTTTAGTACTAATAATTTCATAAATATTAATTGCTTTAAAATTAGGCTACTAAACATTTTAATACCTAAATAAATCGTGTAAATATTTACATTGATATTTCCATCGTACTTACAGCTATGCAGTATATGAATATGTAGACACAGGAAACTGACATTGGTTTTTGTTTGTGTTTCTACGCCATTGGTGTTTTTAAAGTTTTTCTTTTAAGGAAACTGTCAAATCCTTGGATTTGATACTATCCTACTTTGACCTTTGGTATGATAGCATAATCAGTTATCAGCCCGGGCTCAGTATGACCTCACTTGGAATCAAATTAACATTGAATTTGAATGCCTCGGACATTGGCGATATTATGTGTAGACTTGCTGTACGTCAGTTAGTTATAGTATGGTTTTTAAAAGGAAGGTAGCAAATGTAAAGGAATTTGGCAACAGCCACTTATCACCTTAAGTAAATAGACAATGCTTTAATAGCGACAAACAATGAGAATGAGCTGAATGTCAATGTTGACGGTTGGAATATTCAAGAAAGGCGTATAAGAGGGAGGTGCTAACCGAGAGTGTTAACATATCTTCCGTGCTGTTGTCGCCATGCAGATGTCAGCTAAGGCATTCATGTGTGTGTCTCTAGTGTTTATGTTGATTACTGATGGTGATGGTCACTCAAGTTTGAGCAGTCATGACAGTGTCCAGATCTCCGGAGCTGTTAGAGTGACTCCTGACTCCATTGTCGTGGTGCCTGTCAAGCCCTGCTCCCCGGGTTCGAGAAGAGACAGGTTTGGAAGGTGTCGGCAGGTGATGTGATAAATACTTTTATACTGTAAGTACGTAATCTTATTTACCAAAATATCGAGCGTAAGACTTCAAATTAAGCTGTAACAATTTAACCAATGCCCAGTTACCAAGCTGAAATGATATAGTGCTAGCCTGGTATTCAAAAGATTGCCTTTCGACACCGAAAAAAATCAAATTGTAAACTTATAAAACTGGACCCAAGTGGCCTTAATCATTAAGTAATGTCATTTTATTCTTACAATTTTTAATATAGAATAAACTAGGCTTAATTCGTAAATTGACCCTTTCGTCAAAGTTGTTCAAATCAGTATGCTTTTTGAATTTTTATACCGGCACCGGTAATTAACCATACTATAACGTTGCAATATATTTAAAACAATCATGCCATCATTGTTGATTCGTTTAAACGTCAATGGAAATCCTTAACCATTAAATGATGTGTCATATTTTTGTTAACAAAATAAATATCAGATGCAAAGAGGTTGAAAATACGACATGTATAGTTGGTCATATTTTTTCAACTTACGAATTAGGAAGAATAATATACCGTAACGCTGTTACATCCATCATTAATATACGACCTTAGCTAATATAGCTAATAAGCTATATTATGTATATCACAACTTATTTCAAAGTCTCAGGATGGACTAACTATGGGTTAGCTAGAAATCTCTGCTTAGGCTAAAAACCTTTGCATTAGAGTTGATACTTATCAAGATATTGGTCTAACCCCACGTAGCACTCACTACCCTGTCTGCCTTCTTTAGTAAAAGAGCTTATAATCTCATTTTTTCAAATCTTCTTCTAATGGGAGAAGTTATTATGCTTTTAGGATCAAAGGTTACTAATTCGCAGTAAGTTCAAGCTTTGTTTAAGACTCCTGCTAATAAGAATGTATAATAAGAATTCTCCTAAACTTTGTTGAACATATACTTCGGATTGTCCATTATAACGTATCAGGTCACGTAATATGTGAATTCAATTTATGTTCAACCCCAACTACAACCCAGTGCAAGGCAACATTTTTGGTGCCGTGAATTCCACGTGCCTTCACCCTCCATAGACTGTGTTTACCGAAGTTAGTCCTACTTGATATCAAGCCTCTAAGCCTATTGAGTCTCATGTTGAAACCCTTATGACAATGGTGTCCATCCATTATTAGATCGAAACTAAGGATGCTCCAAAGGAATAGCAACGTTAGCGATACAATCCTAGAATTACTTTTAGCGAATTTCCCATATAGGGAATAAGCTATTACCGTAGTACTCATGGTAAGACCCGGGACAGATTTTTTTCGTTTTGAGGTCCCTAGAGGCCAAAAACACCATCCGTTCAAATTCATATATATATATTTATATATATACATGGTGGGACAATGAAAGCACCCTAATTTAT